GGAAAAAAAAAACCATGGTAGAAATTACAGGGGCGGATCTAGGATTTGGAGGTCCTGGGTGCCACATTGTTTAAGTAAGATAAGCGGACCGGTTGCTTTAATTTTGGGTTACAATCGAGTTATTTATCTTTTTTCAATTTTTATAAACAAATCGATTTAAACATGCATGTTAGTAATATTTTCTTTTAGATATTATGAGATTAGAGCTAACTATACAATTTAATTTTTATTTCATTTTAGGAATTAGTAAATATATTCATATTCCATTAATTTTATGTGTTGTTGCAAATATATAACAAAGAGAATACAAATTTTAGTTTCAATCTAGTTATCCTACTTAGCAAGAACGTTGGTAAATATCGAAAGAACCTTCAAATTAAAAGAATTCTAATAATAATATTCATCATTTTTAAAACTTATATTTTTTTAAACTATTGTTTAAATATATTCTTAATAATATTTATGTCACGTTCATAATTCAGTACTCATTAATTGATAAAGAATAAACACGCGACACTCATATCAAGAGATTAATAATTAGTGAAAGAGAAAGTAAAAGAACTTAAGAATCAATTATGGTGAATAGGATTCAATTTGAATTAATAAAGAATACTAGTAAATAAATAAGAATAAATGGAAGGTAAAAATAATAATAAAAAAAACTTCACACATTAATAAAAATGACAAGACAAAAAAAAAAAAGCTTCCAAAAATTAATGTTGCAGACGAGGTTCGAACCTGCACTGCCCGTGGCAGATTGCCTGCTTTGCCAATTTGAACTGTTCACCATATTGTTCAGTGGGTGGCAAAGAAAAAAAAAATATATATATATATACAAAGTTTTTTCTGAGATCAGTGGGTGCCATGGCACCCCACAGGCACCCATAGATCCCCTCTGGTAGAAAAGGAAAGGATTTTACCACAGACAAAAAGTGAGAAAAATGTTGAACTCTTTTAGTTAACCAAACAAATCTGACCCATTAGATTATTTATAAGAAACGTGTCAAAATATTAAAGGTGTAATGGAGGAACTGGATAGATACATACTGAAGGGGAGCGAATTTTTTTATTCTGAGCGAGGCAGGGCCTTCTTTAATTGACAAATGGACTGTAATGGGTCCCATTTTTCAGTCGATTTAAAATTTTATCCTTTCTTCTGCCATATTTAATTACTCTTATCCTTTTTCTTTTTCCGTTTCCTCTTGTCATTTTGTCCACTCATCTTCCAAATAAATATTTGTTTCTCTATTTATTTCGTTTATTAAATATTTTTTAAAGAAATTATATGAAGATTGTTCACGTGTGATATGATTAGCTGATCTAATTATTTGTAGATTTTTTTTCGAGCACTGAATTTTGATCGATCTTTTATGTAATCAATATATGATTTTTGAATAGAATTGTTTATAGTTTTGTTTGAATCAATTATTTTGTGTAACTAATTTAATTATTTAATTAATTCAAAATAAATAAAGTACACATTTACATATTTGATTTTTCAATTTTTAGTAATGATATTTATCTCTTTTATCGTTGCCATTAGAAAAGAAATTTATTATTTACTAATTTATAAGCATTTACTATTATTATGATAGCTAAAAAAAATTTGGATTATAAAAAATGTGTTGGGATTTATAAGCTTATTTAGGTGAATAGAGTTTATAAGAAATATGTAAAAAAAAATAGTTAACAATCTCATAATTAATTTTACGTAAACTGATTTTGATTCATGTCTTTCTTTTTAAAAATATGTTTGCGCCTGAATCTTTCAACCTATTAAATATATTTAGTAGTAAAAATTCTGATGAAAAATTATATAAAATGTTATTATTTTTTTATAAAAATTATATAAATTAACCATTTACCGTACACATTAAAAGTCAATTAAAATGTTTGTAAATAATTAAAAATCAATCAAAATGTATTGATTTAGTCAATTTTATTTATAAATACACTAATTATTCAATCAAAATGTATTAATGTAAAAATTAAAAATCAATCAAAATATAAAATTATGAACACTTATATTCAAAACCCATATATTGATTACATAAAGAACGATAAAAAATCAATGCACAATTTTTTTTATGACTAATTAAATAGATTAACCAATACACTAAGAAATTATTCTCCAAAATCAAACTTTTAAATCCCAAAACAGTCTAAATTTTGTCACAAAAATAATTCATGAACACTCTTCATAGATTTTGTTAGTGAAAAACTTACAAGATAACAAAAATACAAGATTACAATTGAAAATAAAAATGAAGAAATAAATCTCTTCAGGCTGAGGCGCGGATATCTCGCTCTCTTTAAGGAGATTCAAGCCCACTGCAACAAATGTTTTTCACCGGTCCAGCAGTAATCCTTCTTGACTTGTCCCCTCCAGGATACAACAGCCTTCACAAAGTATAACTCAACAACTCTGGACAAGAGTTGAGTCCAAAGCTCCACAAAAGAAACACCTCCCTTCAACTAATAAGATCTCTCTTTTTGACAAACCTTATGCACTCTATATTTTCTTGTGTGTTGTGTGTAACAAACCAAATGAAGACCACCACTATTTATACTAGAAGAAGTCTTCCTAGCAATGAATAGGAAGATAATGGTGTAATAAATAGTGAAGATAATGGTCTTAGGAGTTACACAGGTTACAAGGTGTAATGGAGGAATAAAAGAATGAAATAAAGAAACACTAAGCCACCAACGGCTTGCTGCTGCACCAAAAACTTTGTAACATATGCACTAACTCCATTTGGAGTAATGCTGAATAGCACTAATGCCGCAGTTACGATATGCAACGGCAGCAAACTAAAAAACCACTAATGGTTGGCAGTAACGGCTATACTAAGTAATGAGATAGTTTAAAAGAAGGAGAGTATTGAGAGTTAGTTAGGAATACTTCAAGAAGTTAGTTAGAAGGTAGTTACAAATTGTTAGGTAAGTAAGTTAGTTAAGTAGAATATAAATACATAGAATTTAGTCATTGTATCACTTCTTTCAAGAATGAATTAAAATACACTTTCATCTTCTCCAACTCTATTGTTTTTATGATTCATAGTGAATATCTTCATGGTATCAGAGCAGGTTATAAACATCGAAGGAAATCATCTGAAGATCAAAATCTGAAGAAGTGTTCATCTGTGTATTCTGTTTGAAAGTCTGAAGATCAGAATCTGAGTTAAGTTTCCACAACTCAATTTGAAGAAGAAGGAAGATTGTTAACATGACTTAAGGGGTAACTGGGGATCAAACTACGACTGCTGGACGCAGCAGTGTTGAGGGAAATTCTGGAAATCCAAGTTCCATTCCAGTTATGTCAATGAGTCAAGGGGTTGATTATAGTCATCCTCTGTTCTTGAGTCCTGCTGATATCAGTGGGGTTAATCTGATTTCATTCCAGCTTACTGGAATTGAGAACTATGCTTTGTGGAGTAGGTCGATTAAATTGGCACTACTTGGAAGAAACAAGATTGGTTTGGTAGATGGATCTTGTAAGCAAGAAGATGTAAGTGCAGAATTAAGAGGTCAGTGGGAAAGGGTGAATGCCATTGTTCTCTCATGGCTTCTAAATTCTGTGTCAAAGAGTTTGCTAGGAGGAGTAGCTTTTGCATCATCAGCTCAAGCTGTGTGGAATGACTTAAAAGAAAGGTTTGATCAATTAGATGGATCAAGAACCTTCAGTCTACACAAAGATATTGCAACGTTGCAACAGGGTACAGATTCTGTGTCTGTATACTTTACAAAGCTAAAAACATTATGGGATGAATTTGAGACTTTGGTACCACCTCCTGGATGTAATTGTGAAAAATCAAGAGGTTTTGTGGATCATCTAAATCGCCAGAAATTGTATCAGTTCTTGATGGGATTGAATGAGTCATTTGGACAAGCAAGAAGTCAGATCTTGCTGATGAATCCTATTCCTACAGTAAATCATGCCTATGCTATGGTAGTAAACGACGAATGTCAAAAGATGGCCTCAAGTAGGTCGAGTATAGGCCTAAGTTCTATGGGTAGTACTGGAATGGACCCTCTGGCAATGTACTCAAGAACTGGTGGAGGCTCTAGTTCCCAAGGTGTTAACAAGTTCAAGAGGAACTTTCAAGTGGTGTGTGATTTTTGCAGATGCAAGGGACACACTAAGGATCAGTGTTATAAGCTAATTGGGTATCCATCTGATTTCAAGTCAAAAAGGAAAGTGAATACTAGTACAGGAACTGGAGCTTACATGGTTGGAAATGATGTTAACAACTCAAGGAAGGATGATTATGAGGATGTGTCTGGTAGAGTTTCTTTCAATTATGGAGGTAACACTAATGTACCTGTGAAAAATCATATGAGTAATATAGAGGAATGTTCAAACCAATTACAAGGGTGTAATTTCACCAAAGATCAGTATAGTCAAATTCTCCAAATGCTGAAACAGAGTCAAGGAGGTGGACAAAATTCAGAAGATTCAAGCCATGCACATGAAACTCAGGCTAATACTGCAGGTAAAGTCTTGTTAGTTTCTGAAAATAGTCAGGTCTGGATTGTAGATACTGGGGCATCTAATCATATGGTGTCAAATTTGGATATGCTTACTAGTGATTCTGTTATTAAGGTTAAAGAGCCAAAACCTGTATATTTACCTACTGGGGAAGTGTCATATGTGTCT